AACATTTGAAAGCCAGTAAACCAGCTTTCAGTTGCAGTTCTGCATATCTTAGATCTGAACTTGTTCAGATACTTAGATAACTGAAATCTGGGTAAATGAATATTTATATCAGAGCATATACCCTTCATTATTACATACCTCTATAATATACCAGACATTGTAGTACAGTATATTATATCATGTTGTGTAGACAGTTGGCAATTAGACTCTTGATAACACTGAATGAACAGTTGGAAGGCTACTCAAAGATCGTTAGTGTGGATTGAACTCTTCACGAATTATGCACAAAGAGATTCCTCTGTGTGAAGAAAAGTTCTCAAGAGTTATTTTTTTAGGGATCTGATTTATTTCAAGTTTGATAACGGACTGATATGAGTTGTAGAACCAATGAAAACTATCAGGGAGCACTAAGCAGCTATTTCCTCCTAGTTTGAGTCTCATCAGCAGTGCTGACCCACTGGGATTCGAACCCAGGACTTTCTGGTTACAAGTCAAGTTCATAAACCATTCATGAATTGATAGAAGTTAGAATTCGTGGGCCACTAATTCGAGTCCCAATGACTGAATTGTCTATGAGCTCTATGCCTTGTAACCGGAAGATCCTGCATTCTTTCCGATAAGTCGGAAATTAGCCTGACGAAACACCTGTCCAATACTCTCTGATAGTTTTCAATGCTTCTCTAACCGATATTAATCCGTGGTCAAACTTGCTGAGAGAGAAAAGAAGCACAGTGTGTATTATTCTATCCAGGTGGAAATATATAAACGGAACACCAGTTGGTATTATTTATTAGTCTGTTCATATAAAAACACATAAACCATTCAACCCCTGGGACCCAGCTCCTCAGTGCCCAGCCCATGAATTCTAACTTCTACCAATTCGTGATTTAGCACTACAGGCACTAACCAATGTCATTGGCGGGATATCCATCCTCACACTTGACTGGATGGACCTCAATGGACCTCGAAAACCAACTCTTGAAAATTAATCTGATTCTCGCTAGTGGCTTGCTACAGGACTAAGTTTCCTGCAGTTCTGGTGAGAAGTCGTGACCAGTGAGGTCCATCCAGTAAAGTGCATGAGGATGTATGTCTCACCGATGACACTGGTTGGTGCCAGTCACGCTAAATCACGAATTGGTAGAAGTTAGAATTCATGGGTCCCAGTGGCTGAATGGTATACGAGCTTGCTTTGTAACTGGAAGGTCCTGTGTTCGAACTTTGGTGGTGGGTGCGTACTGCCAATGATTCCCAAAGTAGGCGGATGAAACAACTGTTCAGTACTCTCTGTGGCTGGTTTTCAATGCTTCCCTCACTGATATCAATCCGTGATCAAATTCATCAAAACAAATCTAATCCTTACAAACCAACTATTGAAGAAAGCACATAAATTTAATCACACTTTTTATACGCACAAATTTTATTTTCTTGTCTATAAAATGACCATCATCTTTGTATCAATATTATTATTATTATCATTATTATTTGACAATACACATTCATGTACGTACAACACATAAAAAAGTAGGTAATTACAATTTATTTGTTTTCACTATTCATCCTAGATGTAATTTACTTGTTCTATATTGGAAAAATTTCTCCTTTATGCATCTAGTAATTAAAACATCCATTTTTTTACCAATTGCCTGCCTGTTCTTCATGAAAATCCTTCTTCCCCTTCCCCTTCTTCTTCTTGGATATCTTCTACTTGGTCAATAATCTTGCATCCCTTCTACCCAACAAACCACCCACCCACCCACCAACTTCACACTAACTCGCTTTCCCAACAAGTACACATATTGCATGCATATCTCCTTATGCTTTTCAGGTATGTTGTATACGCGTGGATCAGATCAGTTAGGCGAATTGTAATAAATATTTTCTGTTAGGTAGATGATAATTTATTTCCTCTACTGTTATCTTTCAGTTGTATCAAAAAACTTTAGCATTATAAAAAGAATGTGTATAATCATCATTACTGTGTCATCAAAAAAAAGTATCCCACCTCTTATTCCCTTTTCTTCTGTGATGAATGGACATTAATTTAATGCTAAAGAGAATTAACCTTGTATGCAAAGGTTGTGTGTGGTGCGCGAGGTGTGTGAAGGAAGCGAGTGGGTGGGTGCGTGGGAGGCAAGAAGAGATACCTCTCTTTTTATAACGTACAAATCATAATTTATTGTTGATATTAATCTATTTTTTCTATAAGAATTATTATTTCTTTTTCTTAATATAAAATATTTTAATGATTCCAATATAAAAATCAGTGTTAGAAGTCTTTATTTAGCACTTTATGATAAATGGTGTTCATCTATCTGATGAAATAATTTGAAAGGATAGAAGAAAACCTATGAGATGATATTAGATGGTTGGAGGCAATCGGCCACAGGAAGCCTTGGATCTAGGTTTCGTGCTAGTTGGCACTCGTCAGCAAGGCGTATCTGCAACCTTGAAGGAACTCATGTCTCTCATGTCACACTAGTTACTAGTGTCAAATCAAAATATCCACCACAGTCCTACAGGAGGTCAATCGCGAGCCCGAATAGCTCAGTGGTAACGTCTCTGACTGCAGCACTGGGTGACGCGGGTTCGAATCTCATAAGGGACATGAGTTCCTTCAAGGTTGCAGATACACCTTGCTGACGAGTGCCAACTAGCACGAAACCTAGGTCCAAGGCTTCCTGTGGTCGATTGCCTCCAACCATCTAATATCATCACAAAACAATATACACCGTGATGGCGAGCTACCTAGAATGGTGGCCACATTACAACCTGACTGATAGAATTCAGTCTGCACCAAAGAGAGGACTAGACGCATCACACTAGTTACTAGTGTCAAATCAAAGAAAACCTATGAGATATAATTCATTTCTAAGAAAAATTTTATTTCAATTTTGACCAAGGATAAATATCAAGTTATAGAAGCATTGAAAGCCATCTGGAACTACTACTAACAGCTGTTTTATCCCCTTGGTTTGGGATTCTTCGGTAGAATATACCCACTGGGGCTCGAACCAAGAACTGTCCCTATAAACCAGCTGTTGAAAATCAAACTTGCATTCTACTAAAGATGATTATAAATAATGGAATCTAATAGACACCTTTTGTGTGTGTGTTGATGTAGTGACTCCTGGAATGAACACTTCAACGTCTCTTTAAGGTGAACTTAATGTTATTTGGTTAACAGCGGCTAGCAGTGTAGTGTAATCCAAAATGTTTGTTCCGCCTTATCCGAAGCTTGTCATCTGGATGTACTTGTACCTCAGGAGATGATAAATTTCCTTTTGAAACTCAAAAAAGAACCTATGTTTCAAGATGCACACTTTGTTCTATTTGGGACTCGTCATCTGAAAGTACCTGCATTTCCAGTGACAGATGGTGTCTAAATTAACGTGTGGACTCAGCCAGTATCCAACATTTCAAACTCTGAAGCGTTATCCACTAGACCACTTGGGCCACGAGAACCACCTATTGTGTAATGGGAATTATTTATCATTTGTTATAAATTCAATTTTGATTTTCTCGTTGATTAATTGGACAGCAATGTCCAGCCTGTGTTGACATGTCGGCTGCTATTGAGGACTTTTAGACTGATACCCGTGAGAACACTATCACTCATTGGGAATGCAGGTGACGAGTCCTCGACAGGACGAAATGCACATTCTAGATTTCACCGATTCTCACCACCCACCAAATTACTTCAGGTTAATCCGCAGAAACTGTCGACGCTTCCGTACTAGGAGTGAGCCAGCATGTTAGCAGAGGCCAAACATTTAGGTCCAGTCAGTCAGCGGGAAAATCAAAATTGTTTTAATGACAAATAAACAATGACAGGCACGGGGAACCAAGAACCCCTGGATAGTCGTCTTAATTCACGACGTAATCTACATTAAAATCTGAGTACCTGTAGCTTACTTACTAGTAGCTATAAAATAGATGTCCCGAATTTCTGTAAGAGGTCGTCGTCAGAGGGTTCCATAATATCAGGGTGGAGCGCTTGCCACATTGCAAATTTATAGAAGTTAGAACTGACGAATGGTCAAATTCCATCTCTTTGGCTGAATAGTCAGTGGATTGTCATAGTAACCTGATGTTCATGGATGGGCTCAATCGATCCCTGGTGTCATTGGTGTCCACGACATAAGTGTTCAATGCTGTTCGGTTTTCATGATTTACCACCTGATTTCGATTCGTGATAAGATTTAAACTGAAACTTAGAACTTGCTATTAGAAGTCAACGTATCATTCAAGCGTTTTTCAACATATTAGACTTCAGAACTGACTTGAAACATGTCTTTCTAACTTACATACGCATTCTGAAATGCAGATTTCCTTGATCATTATGGAATACACTCAACTGCTTATCTTATTATTCTGCACGCAGGTGATTAACAATACAACTACAGGGTAAGGAGTTGTACATTTCATTACATCTCATATTTTGCGGTAATATTTAGGTTTCAGTAGGCAAGGAGCAAGGGGTGGTCAACATCTAGCCTTCTTCTTCTTCGCTTACTAATATTACTGTTTTAGAGACAAGAACTGTTCGAATGTTTCAATGGATAGAAATGACACGGACTGTTGCCCACTGTTGTTTTCCTTCCCCCTCTCCCTCTATGCAAGAGGTATCCCTTATTGAAATCGACGTATTGTATAAACCAACGGCGTTCAGATTTACTAATTCTAGTTTATGCTTTCCTATCCTTATTCACTTATGTTCCATCAGCTTTTGAGAAATAACACTACAATTTTTATATACAAATGTATTTTTGTGGTAAATATTTCTTTACAGAAAGCAAAAAATTTATATACATTTTCATATACTACTTATATAAACGTATGTTGGTTGTTTGATGTTAGCTGGAAGAATTGATAATCAAAGATTATTTGTATTGTATTTTGAGTAAATATTTTGTTTGTAATAAATAACAATTAATGCCAAATATGCAGTGGAAAGGAAAATGAGTACTAGTAGATTCCAGGTAGCAAATGGAGAAAAATCATCCAGGTGATTCTTGTGTTCTTTCGTATGTACAGAATATTCTGTGAACAAAACAAAGAAAATGACAATTTAGTAAACACCAAGTTGAATAGTATATGAAGAAAACAAGAACAACAGTTTTTACAGAATAAGATGGTTTCATCATTTATTTTGTTGGATTCTCATCAGCTGCTTACAGCTAAAGATATTATTATTATTATTAGTACAGAGTTAGGAGAATATGCTCTACAGAAAAATTAGAGAAAGAATTTGAGAGAAGATATTAGAAAACGACGGCTACCCTCAGAGACTCACTAGCAAGTACGGAAGATGTGGAGACTTAAATTTCAAACAAATTACAGTGGGAAAAAACCTGTCTTTATTCAACTTGATTTTAAAGGTGAAAATATTGCAGGAACAGTTCACTAGCTAGCGCCTATCCTGCAGCTAAGTTGGTTCCCGTTTATCGAATGACATATTCTTTGGTACAGTCAAAAGTCGAAAGACGCCCTTCTCATGTTAACTCTAACTGTGTATACAAATTTACGTGTATCTGCGGGAGCAGTTATATTTTGAAGAGCAGAAAGAAGGGCACACCTCAGATTTTCTGGACATCTACCAAAAAGACGATGCCGTCAAGAGAACAAATACTTACGGTAGTGTCATCGTCAGACATCTCACTAGTAGGGGTCATCAGGTGGGCATTGCGAAGTCAATAGACAAAATAGTTCAATTCTCCTCAAGTTTGTCGAAGCAAGCACGCCTGTGGCTCAAAGATAGATTGCTTGACAGCCATGCATGTGGTTCGGGATTCGATTCCCATCGATTCCAAGCCGTCGCACATATTTGCCTCCCCCAGTCTGATGTAGGTCCGATAAAGAGGGAAGGTTGAGCGTGAGGCTAGCGATCCCACCGCTTGGAAAACCACCACTACTACTGAAGCGTCACAGCTCAATCTTGAAGCCCTATGTTCCACTCAGAACTCAAAGGAGTAATAAATTGCCGACGCGATCTCTACCAAGCACCTTAAATCCAATTTATGTGTGTAGAAAGAAGTGGTTATCAGTCTTTCCTTGCCCAGGTAACTGGATATCTTCATTCCCTCTTTCATTTGATTGCATAATCTTGACTTTAATCTCCTGTCCTTACTACATAACTCCTTTACCACCGTTTGCATTCATTGATTTTTTGTTTAAACGTGGACTTTCTGGATAAAGACGATATGAAATATAATTTTCTGAGAACTCTTTATTAACTCTGGAGCCTTCTGCCAACTGACAATCATTTAACACTTGCAAATGTGTTAAAATTGTTCTGTACATCAACTTGACAACTTCATTAGGCTGTACGCAGCTGATGAGAAACCAACAGGGAGAAAAATGCTAGTACCATCTTATTCTGCACAAACAATTGTTCTTGCTTTATTCAACTTCATAAAGGTTAATAAATGTATGAGGTTAAATAGGACTGAAAAGCACTTTTTGATATCTAGTTGTTCATAAATCGGTTGCACACAATGGATATCTGGAACTATCCACCATTTAGAAGAACCTGAGTGAAGTTATCATTTCTAAATACATGCGGCACGGATCAGAATATGAAAACCAGTCATGGTCGACAACGGAAGGCAGGAGGTGTCCATTACTATGAAATCAATATGCAGGTTGACAGTACTTACCTCGAAGAAAAAGATGTAAGTTTCCAACGCCAATGTCAGATCAGTGCTGTTATATGCTTCAGAGACTTGACACATCACTAAGACTGCTCCCATCAGGCTGCAAACTTATTATCAGATGCCTTCAGATTATGGTAAAGAACAAGTAACGATCCGGGTAGCTAAGAAACAGCCAAGAAGTTATTACTCAGCAAGAATTCACATGAAAATGGAAATGGATAGGAAATACTCTAAAGGGACAGTTTAGTGATATCACACTCCAGGATAGAGCTTTTAGTGGAATCGAAAAGGTAAACGGCCAGTTGGGCATGGGTCCAAGAGTTAAAAGACGGGGAAGCATGTTTAGAGAAAATAAAAACCTTTGAGGAATCATGTACCCATTGGAGTATGATGGAAGAAAACTGAGTGGAATACAGAGTCTTCGCCGAACCCCATTGTCCTGTAGTCTTAACTGATTTCGGTTGTTTGGAAGTAGTGATCAAGAAGTTTTAGCTTAGGTTCAATGCTCACTGGCATTGGTCAGCAGGAAGTGTCTATTAACTCGTTGGAAGTACTGTTACTTCACAAACTGGAGCCCATATTATTAGTGTTATAACTTAGCTGTTATTGCCCCTTAGCTGAATGCTTTTAACCACCAGTAGGTGTGTACTGTCGATGATTACCAAACTAGGGGGAAGAAACCGCTGCCTAGTAGTAACAGGTTTCTCGGCGGTCCTCTAATTGATGCCATCTCGTGACGAAACCTGTAATAAGATCTTTTTTTATTTCCTCCACGTTCCCCAGTGGAACATAGGCTTCAACTAGAGACTTGAAGTTTCTGTAGCAGTGTTTATTTTACAGGATGGGGTTGCTAGCCTCATGCCCAACCTTTCCTCTTCACCAGCATTATTTCTGGTTTAGCGAGGTAAAGGAGTGCGTCAGCCGGGGTTCGAACCCCGGACCACGTGCATGGTCGGCGAGCGTCCTAACCACTACGCCACCGACGCACCGTAATGAAATTAATTCGCACTAACTAGCTATCGCAGGCTAGCATTTAATTGATTTATAACTGTGTAGAACCTGCAGAAGAATTTACTGAAAACACTTATTCACTCTAATCATCTCTGTTCTGTATAATACAGGAGTAAGACAATATATATATATATATATATATATATTTGTATACATGTATATATAACTCACCTATTTACACTTTGTAATACACTGAAATATCAGTGTGTTAAACGGAGATAATTCTTCTTCTATCACAAAGGCGAAAAGCATCCTGTAGTGGACTAATTCGAGGTCGGTAGACTGTTGTTACATGAGGTTGTAGATTTAACAGTTTTATTCACCGGGAACATGTCTAAAGAAGAAGGAAAAACAGAATATAGAATGCGGTTGTTCAGTTTTCATCACGAGTCAACGTCAGTTACAGAGATTACTGGAAACCAGTAGGGAGCACTGGATAGCTGTTTCGTATTATTTTGGGACTGGATGGATTTCTTGAAGTTGCAGTGGGAATTCGTGACCAGTGGAGTCCATCAATAATAATTAAGGTGAACAACGGTGCTCATCAAAGGTTTTGTTATTGAGGGCAGTGCAATATCACGCAGGAGTTGACAGAGTTAGAATTCAGAGGTCATTGAACTGTGACCCAAGTGACTGAATAGTCATTGAGCTTGGTGTCGTAACCTAAAGGTCCCAGGTTCGTTGGTGTGCCCTTCAACCTCCTTTCCAATGATCTCTTTAACTGACGCTGGATCAGGATGATAATATAACAGCTGCAAAAAATAATCAAGTTAATTTATGTCTACAAATAGTGAGATTGAAAAATCACTTAAAATTGATTTATTTTGAACTGACAGTGGTATTCAGGTCAAGCGTTTCGTCTTGTATAGGACTCGTCATCCGGCAGAGTATAATTAATCAAAGGGAAATTCAAAATGATATTTTAGCAAATAAGTTGAAGTGAGACACAGAGAATGGATACCATAGAGTATGAACACACCAATATGCTTGAGCACATATTAATCATTGGATAATACAACACACATCAGTTAATTACTATTCGATAGTGCTCCCCTTTGTAGACTCGCAACCTGATAGTTCTGGCTTTCGATCTGTGGTGAACTCATGGGTGCCCACCGTGGTGAGTGTCAAACAACGACGAAACAGTTGATTTTAATGATTCTCTAACTGATGTCACTTCGTGACTAAATCGACACTTGATTCTGTCTGTGTTGAATGTATTTCAAAATGTATTTCTATGCATTAACGAATGGAAAACCCGATACTGATGAGTTGCTCTAAAGAATTTAGAAATGAAGCCAATAAATCTGATGCGTAACACTCGAAATCAAACGCTGATTTACTTTTTACTGATAACAATTATTAAGCAATTATGAAACACTGAGCTGAACAGTCTTTCTGTTTATTTAACCTGTAAAATGTTTCATTAAACATTCAACCGACTTTACATGCAGTTTGATTCATTGTACACTAGACACTATAGTCGTGCGACCCAATAGACTGTGAATTCTGACTTCTGCTAATTCATAATTCTTACCACGGCCACAAGCCGTTGTCATCGATGAGTATTTATCCGTGCTGTCGACTGACTAGACCCCAATAAGCATGACTTGTTCCTAGAACTCCCTTCAGACAACTTCCTCGTGTAACCAGTGACTAACCAGAGAGCATCAGAAGAATTTTCAAGAGTTATTTTGTAGGCTACGTCCTGGTTTTGAACGCTGGTGCAGGCGTACTTCCGATGACTCCTAAATTAGGCTGACCAAAATGTTGTCGAGTACTCCTTGTTGGTTTTCAATGCTTTTCTAGCTCATATCAATCCATGGTCACACTCGAAATAAAACAAACTTTAGTAGATAATATTGAACTACAAATCGCCCAAGAGTTTGCAAATGATTTCAGTTAACGTCACTTTCAAAAAATTGTTTTTTTTTCACAGAAGTTCAGGTCTATTGAAATCATCTGCGTAATATTAACTGGTCATCAAATACAATAAAGGAGGCTTTTTTTGAAGAATTCATTATTCATATAATGGGTCAGTTGAAGGTGTAGGTAGGACTAATAATTCACAGACCACTGGTTCGATTCTAGGAACAACCTACTACCATCTCAATAAAAGTCCGTCATTTTGATTGAAGGCTAGCTAGTGTTCTGCGTCTACATCAAACAAAGGATTAGACTCATGACATTAGTTAGTGCACATTCAAAGTATCTAAAAGACTCCTACAGGAGGTCAACTGCCAGCCTGTATGCCTCAGTGGTAATGTGGTGAGAGCTGGCTGCTAGCCAAAGTTGGTAGACAGTAATTGACGTCAATGTTTATTTCCCCAATATTGGTGGTGAGAAAGTGAGAACAAAGGCTTTGCGTAGGCGGATACAGTTAGCATATAGATGATCTGACACAGCCACAAAGAGATGCAAGGTTAACTTTCTGTGAGAAACAACCAATCAAAAGACTATATTTTCTACTAACAATAATCTACAATAATGTACATTAAAATCTATAAATATGTGTTGATTTTCCTTAATAAACGATCTGTTGCCTGGCCCTTGTTACAGTAACATCTCTGACTGCAACACTGGATGATACGGGTTTGAATCTAAGAAAGGACATGAGTTCCTTCAAGAATGTAGATATGCGCTGCTGATGGGTGCTGACAAACATGAAACCTAGGTCAGGTGGGACTACCTGCTGATCGCTTCCAACCATCTAATTAAAGTCCGCTACTTTTATTCATCGTGTCTTTGCAAATGAATAATAATGGAAACATTTGTGTGCGTTCCTTTACTAGTAAAACATGAAAATAATATTCACAAAACTAATCTGGCTTTAATGCATATTTTCATCAAAATAAAACGCTAAAATTATCGCGATAATAAAAAAGTGATAATGATTACACTTACCCGTTAATTTTAATTGTTTCAAATTTGATATTCTTGTAACAGAGGAACAACTAGTCCACTTTCCACTTGACTTTAAGGAAATTCCCACTGTTTTCATGGATTTCTTGTCATTGGCGTTAGAATATGTATAGGAGTCACAAGAAGAATCATTAAATCGATTGATTCTTGGATTCACGACACGTTGAAGGCGATTCGTTTGGACACATTTGCCTTCACTTTGACTTCTCACAAGGGTAGCACTCAAATCTTGCATTGAACTGGACAAACTAGTATTATCCAGTTGGTTTCGAATTCGGGCACCATGGAGTCGTGATAATGACAATGCTGATGATGATGGTGATGAAGGCAGAGAAATACAGTCTCCTGGAACTGTTACATGTGACACCTTCCTATCCACTTCACTGAACACTAAAGAATCTTCTGACGTGGATAAATCCACCTCAGAATCGAATCTGTTGGTTTGATAAATTCGTCTTGATTTCATCCTCGTAGATTTATGCGGTGTATTTGGTGGGACTGATTGTCCATTAGCGCATTCTGATTGTAAGTGTAAATAAGTGTCTGAATGATATACAGTGTTCAAGTAGAATGGAGGGATGTAAACTTTTCTGCAGTCTAACTGTTCCCATTTCCATCTTTGTTTGTATGGAAGCTTTTGATGAGCATCATGACACGTGCATTTGCATGTTGGTGCATTATTCTCACGCTGATTTTCTTGATCACTTTCATAAATGCCTGCATTATTCTCATCAACAGATTTCATAAGATTCAAATCGAAATTGTAACGTTGACGAAAGTCTTCTACGCTTTGTTGACATATTTGTGTTAATTTCTCTTGACAACATTTATTATTATCATTTTGAGAATCTATGCATAAAGTATTCTCTAGAGAACTAAATAAACATCGCTGAGGTTTTGCTGAGATAGACTTTTTTAACATCCTTGGAATAATTTATTTCCCTCTCCTTTTAGGTTTAATTCAAAGAAAAATATTTATATGTATCTTCCAGAGTACACCTAATTCTTTCAGTGATAACTTGAAGAATATAATCCGATTACAAATAAATTTAAGGATTCTTTAATAATAAAAAAAAGTTCATTCGCCTTGTGATTGGTTAACACTGGCTATCCAATTAACCAATGAAAATTGACTAGATGACTTGAAGTCATTGTACACGGGGGTAGAAATTCTGTGTAAAAACCAACCACGTGTCGTTTAATATTGTGCATTATTGATACGTGGGAGGGAGAAAAATTATTGAAAACAATATGTCAGTTACATGACCACTATCCGGTTATACTGCATTAAATAAGAAAGGGGGGAAATAATGGGATTTTGTATGTAAATGTAAAAGACAAAACGATATACAGGTCGTCCCATTTGGTCGTGTTTTTATTATTATTTTTTATTGTAAAGTGTCTCTCAACTTCCCTCTAACTGCATTATAGTTAACAAAAATAGTAGAAACAAACGAGTAACTATCTGAGAAACAGCTACTTTTCGATGAAATGTGTATTACCGTTGTTCCCATTGTTCATACCAGGTACTCATCTTAAATCAATACGATTGATCAGATGAGAAGTAGACTAATCACTATGATTCCACCAGGATTCGAACCCAGGACATTTTAGACACAAGTCAGGCTCGTAGAGCATTCAGACACTAGGATCCAACCCAGTGGCCAGTCCATAAATTACAACTTCTACCAGTTCGTGATATTTATTGCGAACACCAGCCAGTGTCATTGGTGAGTATTTGTCTCCACCACGAACTGGATGGACCCCACTGATCAAAACGTCTCACTAGAACTCGCTCCAGTTAAATTCGTCTTACACCCAGTAGTCACTAGCGAGCATCAAATTAATTTTAAAACCTTAGGTTGTTGCAAGGGATTTGATTTTTTCATTTTTGACTACGAATTGATATCAGTTAGAGAAGCATTGAAAATCACCAGGGAGTACTACACAGCTGTTTCGCCAGTCTAGTTTGGGACTCATCATCAGTACCTATCCACTAGGACTTTCTGGTTACAAGTCAAGCTCACAGACCATTCAGTCACTTGTTATTTGTGAATCGGTTAATGGCGACTGACAAAAATCCTTGCAGGAATTTGATTTCATTACAGACTCTGTCACGAGTTAACATCATTCAGGGAAATACCGAAGAACTAGAAGGCACTGCACATCTGTTTTGTCATAGTTTGGGACTCTTTCTTTAACTATCGTGATGGCGAATCAGCACTACCTAACAAACTTGGCTGGCAAACACAATTTACTTACTTTTAGTTAATATTTTACTTGAAGATCTCGGACAAAGTGAAACGCCTATGCAATAATTTCCACTGAGAATTCATCACATTGTATAAACACTATTCAGAATAAGGCTGCTATTATTATTATTATTATCATTATCATTGTTATTATTAAAAAGAGAGGTAACTCTTTTAACGTTTTAGATAAATCTTGACCTTTTAGAACAATGGGTTCCAGTTTCGTTGGAGACAGTGTTACTCACTGAGGACGCAGGTGTATCTAGCTGACGACTCCCAAGTGGGACGAAACGCGTGTTTTGGATTCCCCGTACCAACTGCTATCGGCCAAATACTAGAGATCTGTTAGCACTCTCTATTTATTCAGAAAGTCGCTGCATTCAAAGAGAATTTTTATGCATTTCTCGTTACTGATGTCGAGATGGAAGACAAATTGAATATCACTTCGTAAAAATTGCATGAGCTATTTCTCATTAGTTAGTTTGTAAGGGCTGGATTTGTTTTAAAGTTTTCCCACACACTGATATTAGTCAGAAAACCATTGAAAACCGGCAGGGAGTGCTGAACGGCTGTTTCGCCAGTCTAGTTTGGGACTCATCAGTAGTACAACCCCACCAACCGGTTTCGAAACCGTCACCTTCAGGTTACAAGTGAAACTTGTAGACCATCCAGCCACTGGGACCCAATTCAGTGACCATCCCATGATTTCTAGCATCTAAGTATTCGTGATTTTAGAGTGATTACCAGCCACCAATGTCATCAGCTGGGATGCGTACTGTCGATGAGTCCCCGAACCAGGCAGATGAAGCATCTATGCAGTTCTCTGTGATGGTTTTCAATGCTTCTCTAACTGGTATCAATCCATGGGCAAGCTTGAAGTATAAGCTATTTTCTGTTGTAATACTTTTACTGAAAATGCAACTATAATAAGTAGTATACTAAGAGAATGGGATTATTCCTACTGGTTTCTTAAGACACTAAATTCAGACTAACATATATCATAAAGCATATGCCTAACACTGTATGCCTAGTCTTTAGCACCGATGATGTTAATGACTAAATTCTATCAGCAGCGAGTTTAAATCTCCTTTGGGGTGGATTAAATTCGCTATCGAGTAAGCCAATGAGCACGGAACTTAGGTTTAAGGCAACTTTCTGTTGATTACCTGCAACCTGCTAGCATCATATCAGACTCATATTTTATCAATATGATTATAATATATTTGTATGTTTTGATTATTGTTTGTTTGTTTTTGGTCAATAGTTTACTTAAATATAATCACCTCCTTTTGATAAATACATCTGTTATTGACCTGATGCTCAACATGTTAGAATCAGCTGGTGGCTGCAGCTGTTTATCCCTCTAGGCTATAAGGATCAGATTATAATTGTTTTGGAAAGTGATTATTGTTAGATTAGTGTGGATCAATTAATAGATAAATGAGCAGGATAACCTCTGACCGTAATGTTTATTTCTTTAGACTGTAAGATAGTTTATTAAAGCGAATGGACATTAAAATAAACTACTACTGCATTCTGGTTAGCTCCTTTATTTTCAAGAGTCAGCTTATGGGGAAGGATTTGATTTGTTACAGTATTTTCATCATGAGCTGACATTAGTTAGAGAACCATTGGAAAACCTGGGAGTACTGGACAGCTGTTTCGTCCTAGTTTGGGACTCTTCAGCAGTACGTACTTACCGCGATTCGAACCCAGGACCTTCTGGTTAGAAGGATTTGATTTGTTTCCCGTTTGACCATGGATTGATATCAGTGTTAGAGAAGCACTGAAAATCCCCAAGGAGTACTAGACAGCCGCCTCTTCCCCCTAGTTTGGGACTCATCGGCAGTACCCATCCCCTGTGTTTTGAATCCAGGACTAGTGGGCTCGATCCTGTGGGGACTGAGAACAAATACTTGCTAATGGCACTGGAGACTGGTGGTCACGCTAAATTCACGAATTGGTAGAAGTTAGAATGAATGGTCTGGCCATTGAATTGGGTCCTAGCAGATGAATAACAATCTACTAGCTTTGTTTCTGCAAGGTGCTGGGTTCCATACCCACCGGGTAGATACTGATGATAGGTTCCAAACCAGAGTTAAAGGAACGAGACAGTTTTCTAGTACTTCTTACTGGTTTTCAAAGTTTCTTTATTCCTTAATTTTCTTTTCACACTTCCATCCCTTCCTACAACATATGCTGAAAGTGTGCATTCATGAACGATTTTATTTTTGTTTATTTCATATGTACAAGTCTTTTAGTGAACTTATTTGTGACATGTTGTATCCAATTCCTCATCTTGGTACGGATTGAATTTTGCCAGTTAACATATCTGCTTCAGTCCTATTGCGGATAAATTGTGATCCATAGTGGTTCATTGGGTAGGTACTTGACTGCAACACTTGATGATGCAGGTTCGAATTTCAATAAGAAGGCTTGTGTACGCTCAGAACTATGCATAATTTATGCTAACGAGTCTGACTCGATATTCATGGATTCCTGTCGATTGCTTTCAATTGTCAAACAACAGTTTCCTTTTCCGAATCAGAATACTGTTACTGGTTAACCATTGATTTCTAACATAAGTTTATTTAAGAGTGAGACTCTGTCGCCTAGTGTAGGATTGACAGACTTCTGCTATTGCAATGTGTGGTGATTGCAGTCGAGTGGTATGTACACTTGAATTTCAGATTACATGATACCAGAGAATCACCTTCCTCAATTAAAGTCTATAAAATATCATACCTACCTTGATTTGTAGTTCTTTTTTTATTCATTCACGTCCCCAGTGGAACATGGGGCTTCAAGCTAGAGGCTTGAAGTTTCTTTAGCAGTGTTTATTTTTACAGGATGAGGTTGCTTGCCTCATGCCCAACCTTTCCTCTTCACCAGCTTTATTTCTGGTTTAGCGAGGTAAAGGAGTGCGTCGGTGGCCAGGGATCGAACCCCAGACCTTGTGCATGGTCGGCGAGCATCGTAACCACTGTGCCACCGACGCACTGGTCCAGCTAGGCGGAGTTCTACGTAATATCATTTTATTTGGTAGTGTTTACAAAGCTATCCTTGAACAAGACATGTAATAACTGAAGCTTTCATGATACCTTCAGTTTTATATGATATAACGACATGCATAAACCACTTCTGTTACTAGTCAGCTAGTCGAGATTATTGCAATGGGACAATAGTAACTGGCTTTCTAATCCAACTCAAATATGATCGAATCAAACGGACATCCAAAAAAGATTTCAGCTGATACTACCAAACAAAAATATCTTGCATTTTGAAAGAAGAGATGTTCAACGAAGGGTTACTCATTTCAGAGATATCATTCTCAGTCTTTACAATATATATATATATATATATATATATAAAGACTATAACAAAAGTTACCTACTGAGTGCTAAGATAAATTAGGTCCATTGTGCAGGTTCAGTGACTGACGCACTTCTTCTGTATGCAGACTTTAACATTTAACATGTAGATTACAGTAGCTTTTGAGGTATGAAGAAGTTTGCTTTGTATTCCTATTGCAAGATTTCCGTGTAACTGTTGTGTACATGACTATAGAGTTGGTTTGAGATTTCTCTTGGTGGCTGGATGTCGCAGAATAGAACTTTGGCAGTAGGGAGGGAGGGTTCTTCTTTGTAAAACCATTAGAGTAACTGCCCGATGGCATGTTTAGACAGTAGATGCTAAATATAACCAAAAAAAAGTTGTCCCACAGGAGCAGGTGAATTGATAGATGCAGATTGATGAGGCCGTTACTTTTGGTGTAGGCTTCATTTTTATCGGTTTTGTGGAGAAAGTAATATCAAGTTCAGCTGAGAAGGTTTTCTTCAATGAACGGAAGAAGTAGTTTCTAAGTATTTCTCCCTATGGGTCTCCACTGAATTTCTGATTCAAACATAGAAGTTTTTCGTGTATGTGATTTTAGGTGTGTTGGCATCTTGGATTTTATGATGACGTGTTCAAGGCAGCTGTTTTCAATGAGGAACTTACATCAGAGTTCTCAGCTGCAACTTATGGTGTTGAACTTGCATACGTTGCGAATTCCATTACTCGCTGAGCATATCAAGTTTCTCTTTGCATTAAAAAATACCCGACTGTACAGATTAATTGAGTTATCCTTTCTATGTTGGCTTTCTGTAGATGAATCTTCTGCAGTATTTCATTATGTTACCTTGTGATTCTAACATCCAGGAATTATATTTTTGAATTAGACTCCTTTTATAATCTGAAATAGATTCTAGGATGGAAGGTGTTGAAAAAACAACACAACCCTAGAATATCTTTCAGATTCTCCTAAGTTCTATTCTGCAATTTCTTTTATTTATTGAATGTCTTCTCTAAGGTGAAATGAATAAAATCACCAGCGTTTCATCAGTTCTTGTAAAAAACAGTGAGCTCCTACACTGAGATAAATAGAGTCGTGAAGATATTTGAATACCTGCGTCAGTTTAAAACTCGATGATCTATAAAAACAGCTTATTGTTATATGTGACACTCTTTCTCAATATACGCAAACACAAACAGATTCACAATTAAAAGCGTTCTCTGAGCTGGTTGGTTTAGTCGCGAAGCTTTCGTCATCCTTCCGGACAACATCTTCAGCGCCATATTTAGCACGAAGTGAAATGATTTAAATTTCCTCATGCGTGATGTAATTGCGTCTCCTGGTTACTATCTTCACATATGTATTGACCACTTTCTATTGACTAGGATTTTAAACTTTTTGGTCACCTAATTTACTTTTTATTAATTGGTATATTTCATCTATATTAACATGTTTGTTAATCGCATTTTCGCTTGAGTACCAGGCCTCAAGGAATTCTCTGGCACTTTTCGTGTTTCCTCTGTTTAAGATTTTGACATGATCCCAATCAAACTGATGACCATAGTTGTCTGCATGCACTGATACTAAAGAATACATATCATGTCTTTTCACGGCTGATTTGTGTTCTTGGATTCTGATTCGAAGGGGACGCCCACTTTGGCCGATATAATGCTTGTTACAGTTCATACAATTTATTTTGTAGATGGTATTAATTTTATCCCCTTTTTCTGTTGGATCTTTCGGTTTGCATAATATCGAATTAAGCGATTTGACTGGCTTGTGTGCTATATCTATATCAAACGGTTTCAGTACTCTAGCTGTTATTTCAGAGATATTCCTCATGTATGGTAGAATGAATTTTCGTGTGGTCTTAGATGATGGTTTCTTGTTGGTGTTGTGATTCGACTTTAAACACTTTTTGATGAAATTTTGTGGATAACCATTCTTTTTGAAGACCGTTTGTAGGTACTTTTCTTCCATTCTTTCAGCTCTGGAGTGCTACAATGTGTCTGAACTCTTTTAAACAATGTCTGCACACAGTTTCGTTTGTGAGTAACTGGATTATTGCTAGTATAGTTGAGTATTTGATCTGTGTGCGTTGATTTTCTATAAACTTGTGTCTCTAAATCTCCTGTGTTGGTTCTCCTGATTAAGACATTCAATCAGCAGTAATCCCTGGACCCACGTTTCTTATCCAATGAAATACCTGGCATCAAGGCATATCTTGAACACCACGTGGATCAATACCCCAGTTCGATAATCTTCCCAATTCGGATTCACAAATAACCTCCTGTACTGCCGTTTCACATTTCACACTAAAGCAATATTTCAAATACTAATGTATATCACATATAACTAGGATGAAACAAAGCCGATGACAGAAAACAAATGCAAAGAAAGCAAAAATGAAAATTAATGACTCACTACAATCGGGCAATTCAAACGAATAAATAAGCGAAGGCATAAAGTATAAATTATGAAAGTACAAACTGAAATTTCTTTCACCTACCTACCCGCCTACCTAAGCATCCATCCATCTATCCAGATGTTTGTTTGATGTTTACAGCTTTAAGAGAAGAAAGAACATTTTTCTTGTTGTTGTTGTTGTTGACCTGTTTTTGTGTTTAAGAATTATGTATTATTCATCCGTTAGCTATAATATTTCACTGTTAATTAAACCAGTTTATGCATGATATGTGTAATGTGTGCAAACAAACAGGACAAGGAAAAAAGAGAGAGAGAGAAATATGAACACCCCCCTTAAGTGTATGTAGAGGGGACATCTCTTCGTTCTCCGTTTAACAAAACAACATTTTCTTAATAGCACATTTATTCATTTCCACTTCTCTCTCCTTCCCTCTGTTTCTGTTTATCCGTCTTTCAGGTATACAACATTGCCATTTTAGTAAACAGAAAAACAAGTCAAAATCATGTTAGTGAATAAATAGCTAAATAGTTCAATAACCACAAAAACAACAACTCCAACAACGGAAGGAAACCTCGACAATGTACTTACAATTCAAAATTTATGCCATGTGAAATAGGTAGAATATTACGCTATACTCATTCATCAAAAGTAATGATGAATTAATTATATTAGAATAAGGAATGTATCAATATATATACAGTACATGAACAACATTAACCCAGAAATAAACACTAGTTGACTTGATTACTACTCGTCTGCTTGTTTGTTTGTAGTAGCAGTAGTTGTAGTGGTGGTGATGATGACCTGAGCTGACCACAACTATTCATCATTCACTCTCATGTCGCTTCTTTCTTCCACACACACACACACACAGAGAGAACATTCTGTTTCTTTTACAAAACTGGATACTCATCAGCTAATTATCGAAGGCAGAAAGACAGAGGAAAGGAGAGGGGGAGGAGAGAAGACCAATGTTGTCTGTTGATATCTGTATCGTCGCTGTTTCCTTCTGCATCATCCATTTTTCTGTTTTTGAAAATTCATTCATTCATCCGTTCACAGGGATGAACACGAAAACACAGGCGAATTTATCAGAAAAATAGTTGATTTATGTTATCCTGAAATTGACTAGAAGCAAAAGTGGAGGAAATCATAAATTTAAAAAAAAATACTGAGTAGGAGTACACCGAGTGAATTTCAGTGGATAGTGACGACTAGCTGTGGAATCCAGGATGCGTATTCCATCCTGTTTGCTCGAAAAAATACTTACCCATGAAAGATTCATCGTTAAGAATATAAAATATATATATATGAAGCACAGAGAAAGTCAAATTACTAGCCACCAATTCCGAATAACACCTTGTTCTTACAACTTCCTTGAATTCCTCGGTGATGATAATCCCAGTGAAATAACAAAAGCACAACGCTTAAGGAATCAGGTGGAAACAGAATTCAGTGGCACTGAAGCACACACTGTCTATTCAAAACCACTCATAACTTACATTCGGGAGTTAAAGATAAAGATAAACTACACAAGTTGGCCTTCTCTAGTGTGTATCTATCAATTTGACAGCTCGCTCCTGTGACGAACTGGTTACATAGGGCGTAAAATTGGTCATGTTCACTGTAAATTAACCAGTGCATGCATGATATGTGAAATGTGAAAACACAGTTATATCCCTTATCGTTGAGCATTTCTGTGAGACAAAAGAAAACTACCGTAGTGGATTGTTTTATTTTTCAGATCTAACATCATTGCGTCACATGGCGCACCGGAAATGCCTGTTTAACTTGAAACTCTTGGATGAAACGTAAATATTTTGCAATAAACTACACTGAAAATTGTACAAATTGGATAAAGTTATTGTACACGATGCATTTATTTCAACGGATAATTTAGCTAGCCCAATGGTTTAAGTAGGCCGCCAGTATCACGAAAAATGAGATCTACTCAGATTAATTCAAACAGGAAAGATAGCCATATCATTCATGCAAAATATCAAAATATTGACTTCACTTTGACATAAGCGATGAAGATATTGTCTAGAAGGTCATGGAAAGCTACACAATTAAGCTTTACAGCTTAGAGAACAGAACCACATCGAAAGCAGACAGCTCAACGGCATCATTTTCCAAGTGTTAATTTGCCTGTATTCAACTGGTTTCAAGTCTAGATGTTTTAGGAAATGTCTTCAATTAGTGAACCACTTAAAACCATCAAGGCATAATGAATAACTGTTTCTAACTAGATTGTGACTACTAAATAATACACACCCAAGACCATACCCACTGGGGATCGAACCCAGGACCTTCAGGTTTTAAGGTCAATTAGTCGAACATTCAAAGAAAAGGGAACATAATCCAGTGGCCGATGACTTCTAACTTCTACCAACTCGCGATATACGCCGCAACCAACAGTCAAAAGTAACTTAGTCCTTCACTAGTAAGTGACTGTGGTGTGAAGTTGGCTAAAATGCTAGAGAGGAACTTGATCAAAACAGCCCACAATGTTCAATGGCGACTGAGAGATATATCGTAAATTGATAGAAGTTAGAAGTAACCAACCGTTGGGTCTTTTTCAAGTGACCGAAAGGTTAACAACGTCATCTTATAATCTGAAGGTCCTAAGTGAGTGCATTTCCCAGTAGGTGAGATTATGTGTTCGTACTGCGAAATAGTCTGGTGCTAGGGT